GAAAAATACGAATACTAAGTTTTGCACATAAATATTTTTAATGAATATTGCAACACTTGGCCTTCCATAGGCTGCGGAGGATGTTTTTTTTATGTAACTATTTCACTGCGTGTTTTACAGAAAATGTTAATCATAAATTAGACTAATCGATCGATTCTACTTGATAAAGCAATATCATACGTAATTACTTTGAATCAAATGTAGAATTTAATTTAGAGAAAATGATTAAAGAAAGCTTTGAAATTATTACAATACATGTATATGTTTGGGCGGAAACAAATCTGACTGTGCTAGGGTTACTCCCACGGGGAATAATGATGGTGAAAGGCAGTAGACACTAATTGCAATGCCTACTCAGTATAATTGTGTGGTGACAAAACATGTATAACACCGATTAGCACTCAATCACGGTGTGCAGTAGGATAGTTTTAAGGAAGAACAAATTCGTGACTTTTTTTTGCATAATTCTGTACACGGCATAATGTGACGAACGTCATATTATTATTATTATTATTATTATTATTATTATTATTATTATTATTATTATTATTATTATTATTATTATTATTATTATTGCTGTTGTTGTTGTTATTATCATTATTATTTTTCTTCTTTTTGAGAATTTAAAAAATAATAGAGGAAAAAAGGATCTGATTTAATTTTTTTTTTCATTTCACAGTATTTGTTTTAGTTTCGCTATTTTTAATAATAGTAATTAAAATAAAATTTAAAAAGTTCAAAACTAGCCTCTTGTTTTAATGATACGAGTTACAACTGTGGCCGACTGTGCGAATATTAATTAAGTAATAAATAAATAAATAAATAAATAAATAAATAAATAAGCAAACAAACAAATTAAATAAATAAATAAATAAATAAATAAATAAATAAATAAATAAATAAATAAATAAATAAATAAATAAATAAATAAATAAATAAATAAATAAATAAATAAATAAATGGAATGATTGTTAAGATAACGTGTGAGAAATACAGTCGGTATTAAGCTGCCAGTGTTAGGGGGTTATTCATGGATACCCTAGCTTACACTGTATTTGCACAGAGCGGAACAACAACGATGAAGGTGCTGGAGCAAATAGTGGCATACGCGACTTGTTTTGACACAGGGAAACAGATGCGTAAAATGGGTTCTGTGACGTATACAACACTTGCAGTCCGCGGGATATGCACGATTATGGTAATTGTGGCTTTATGCCAACCAGGTAGGTTAATATAAAAAAAAATAACATCCGAAATACGCTCCAAACGTTGTATTAATACATTATTTATTTACATAGTGGTGTCAAATTAATGCTTATATCTCGTGCTTGCACGAGAGGCAAACTATAAATACAGCTAGTTACTATACATCGTGGTGTAACCATTTAAAATTGTGTTGTTCTCCCTGTTGCCGTTGAATGTATTTCTCCCATTACTACGAAAAAAAGGCTCGTCGCCATGGTGATACCATCCACAGGCATAGTGCATGTTTTAAAGAATAATATTATGTTAATTATTTGTATTTTATTATTCACTCAGTATTTTTCCTCAATTCACCCAATATTTGGTTATGCACATATTTGCACCATGTATAAAAGCGCAGGCCGTTTGTCCATTGTACGTAAAAAGATGTCAGTTCTGCCAGTATAATAATGTGTAACATACATACGTATGTTAATTAAATGACCACCCCCATAATATACCAATATATACCATACGTCAATCGGAAGAATCAGAAACACAACTAAATTAAATTGAATCGAATTTTGTTGATAATATTCGTAGTGTAAATAACAATTATTGGCATGTTTCTGGAAACATGTTCCGCGGAAATTGGAGAATACAATAAATGCTAACGAGCGCTGCTGCTAAACAAGGCGACTACACATATTACGGTGGGTCGACCATGTAAATGATATGGCGGCGAGTCTCGCATTCACAGCGCTTGATAATGAAACACATCCACTTTTACAGTTTGACCCCGGCAATTGGCGCACATCTGTCTGTGAAATACTCTCGCATTATTATTGTCGTCGCTGTTATGTTAGGTTTCCACCTTGAGTTTCTTCATTTATTTAATAGGCCCGTTTCGTTGATCAGATCCTTAAATTTACAATATACCATATCTCAATATATACTAATCTTCGTTTATTACGAACTCGATAAGACAGGAAGCCCGGTGGATCGTGTCGAGGCTTTCTCGTTGTGTGGGGAACCTCTGTGAGAGGAAGCACCTGAGAAGAAAACCGATTGAACCCTCCACCCTTTTGCGTTTTAAAGCCCTTTTAGTAACACTAGGATATAATGCAAAGACACGCACATCCTGGAAAAAGTTCTATCTTTTTCTATTCAACAAGCCCAGTCCACTCAACCACTAAACCACTTGCTAAACCAGCCCAACAAACTACTTACCAAACCGGGCATCATAACATAACCGGCCATCATATTTAGATATATCTGATTGTGACGTAGGTCGCGCAAAGCAGCAAACGTAAACAACGAGCCGTATACGTACACTTTAATAAACTAAATATGCGGTAAACTTGAGTGAATAAAAAAAAATTGCATAAACAAAATTTATTTTTATTAGCGATTTTTCTCGTTGACATCTCTGTTGTCCGACAAATGCTAGTTCGAACAGTACATAGCGTGTATTTGTCTAACCTGTGTATTATTTTAAACTGTGTGTTATGACTGTGTCTTCCTATCGTAGCATGTCAACCACATCATTAGCTCCATGACCACATCCAGTCGAACACTAGCACGGTTTTCCCAATGTCATTTCAGTTAGTAAGTGAATCTCACGAATTAGCTTAGTCCTCTCCATTGAGTCTATGGTATGTTCAGTGCGATGACGGATTGGGACTATGTTCGTTTCGCAACACCTGCTGCACAATTTACTACGAATCGCTACACCGTGACGTAAACGGGACAAGCTTTCATTACGCGTGTAAATCTTCCTATGTCGTCATTACATCGTAAATTTCATTATATTATATTACATATTATGTATTTGCTACAAAAAAACATATATTTTTTTTCAAAGATTACGAATTTGAGTGAAGGGGTATTTAGATTTCAACTGAGTCTTTAAAGGCTTTCACGCACTTGCATCAACGCATTCCCTACACATCAAGTGTATTTTGATCATGTGTAAATTCCAATTCTAGAACCAGTGTACAGCTGACGCATAGAAAGTGGATACTCTTGGGTCGCTGTATGTATGGTAATGCCGATAATGTTTTAGCCCAAAGGCACCTACTGTAAAGTTCTTTTTCTTTAAAGGCGCCCCAAGCGAAGCGAAGCAAAGACGTTTACCCTATCACGTCTTGTAATTCCGAGACAGAGAAACGATGAATTAAGATGAAAAGCAACTGCCGTTAATTTGTCGTGATTAGCTGATTACTGTCGGACTGGATGTCTGTGTCAGCCAATAAAGCTGCTGGTAGTCTTGTTTTGCGTCATAATGTTTACACAGATATTAATAAATTATCAGAGTTCAGTGACATTTATTATTATTTTATAAAGCGTTTATAACTGGCTTTGCATTCCCTCACCGACACTCAGATATACCTACGTTGAATTTGTGTAAAGTTTGCCAATATTTCAGGCATAGATTTCAACAAATTCAAAATAATTCGGGATAATTATGTTTACTTTGCATGTGTACTATATTCGCATTTAAAATGTATGGGTCTGCTATACGTTTCGCTCACCACCCATCAAATACTATTAAGAGAATTAATTATATAACCTGGACACAATATAGCGTACTAACTCCTGGTTATGGCATATATATAGAAGTATTTTCTTAATACCCGCAACTTTGTGCGGAAAATCTAATCAATGAGACTTAAAGTTCACAACTGAATTTTGTATTCGTGGACACACATTTATAATTGCTATTTTTTATCATTATTCAGTCGTCTGAATTTTTCCTAAGTTTTTTTTCGCAAAATCTCCCAGTCTATTTCAGATTTAATTTTTGTTTGTATAATTAACATACAAACATTTGTCATTTTCCACAGTTACCACTGTAATCGTGCGATTCTTAAAGTCACCCCGGCAGAGACAATGACCCATCCCTAATTGATATACTACTTAAAATAACTGTTCTTGAACTGTAAGAGGGCATCAACCTGTTTGTTGATGAGATGTCAATGTGTATCTCCCAGAATGCAATTCGATTGAACTTGCGTCGTGGTAATAAAAGACAACATCATAACAAGGTGATACAAACCATTAAAGTAGTAACATGGAAAATTAAATAACGAAAAATTGCTCTATCATTAAAACATTCTCAAACAGTCACTAAGCTTGCTAAAGTCGGGGATGGTGCTTTAAGGTAACGAGACTATTATTTGTGTTGAAAATTACGATTTTCACATTTATTTATTAATTGATGAAATGCACTATAAACTTTCATATGATAAAGTCAATATAACATAGAATGTCATGTAAGTTGGTTAAAATGTAGATTTTCTGAAGGGAAACAAGGCAGCCTCAGTAGTGTTTTCCAAAATCAACAACACAGGTTTAATCTGTGTGCCTATAAGTTTCAAAGATAAACTCAAGACAAAGCAATGTTAGGATGTGTTATCAGTAGCTATCTGACACACAATGAGTGTTTCCAACCATTCCAGTGGTTTGTCTCTGCCCCTGTTCCTTTATTTTTTTGGTTTCCAGTAGCCTTACACATTTGGATGTCCCTGCACATGGTAAAACAGACCTTGATGGGGAAACAAATTGATTGTGCCGATAAACAAGCTTGAAAATCTTTGCTGTTACTTCATGGACGTTTTCTATGAGTTTATGTTTTTCAAAATACAAGGTCTTTGACAAAAA